GTACAGCTCATCCCTGGGATGAGCAAAAGGATTATGACCTCTGTTAGCCATGTTCTCTTTTCCAAGGTGGGATTAGTAACACCTGTCTGCTTGTGTGGTAGATGCCTAAGAAAGCAAGGCAGAAAGTGGAAGACCTGCTACGCAAACTAACTGCCAAGCCTCCTGGGTACACTTAACTACATGAAGTCAGAGAACACCTGAGGCATGGTTAGAACAGAGCCATGGGCGCCACACCCAGGGAGAGAGTCAGAAAATTGAGGGAGGGGGCCATGATTCTGCCTCTTTTGGGGGTGGGGCTTAGGAATTAAACCTAAAGTTTCACACATGCTTGGTAAGCACTCTACCACTGAGCTGGATTCTTCTCGGATTTTGCATTTCTAACCAGCTCCCGGTTATCGCCAGTCCGCATGCCAGGCAGGCAAAGCCAGTTCTTCAGTGGTGCTCTACAGTTGCCAAACTAAACTTTTCATTTTAACAAGATCCCCAGGTAGTGGCTGCCCACCCCCATGTCTGAGATGTACTGCCAGCCTTAGGAGCTCAGAAGACACAGCACGCCATCAATTAAACCAAAAAACCTGGTGTAGAGCACAGGCAATGGCATCGTTGTCAAAGCTTCCCAGGGGTCCAGTTGAGGACCAGCACTCTAAAGAGAGCAGTGGTTATCAGAAGCCCTTAGGGCAGCTGAGGAGATGAAATATGATGCCTTCCACTTATAGGAGATGTTATATCTCCCAGGATGTTTCCATATAGTAGAAAGGGTTAGAGCAGTTTTGCTACTTGAGAGAGAAACTGAGGCACAGAGGAACTGACTTGTTCTAGAGCAAGGGAAGGTACCTCCCTGGGTACCTCTTACCGGATCACCTCAGAAAAAAATATCTGTATATACAAGCCTTAGGGAGGAACAAATAGACCTTTCTGGGGTACAGCATCCTTCAGTCTAGAATTTCCAAACCTCTAAGGCCAGATTAATGATAATGAAATGTTGTCTGTCCTTAGCTTTGGGGTACACAGTGGTGAAATATGGAAGCAAAAGCAGGCTCAGGAAGGATACAAGGTCCCCAGCTCCCTCTCAGCCCCCTCTGCCTCGTGTTCATGGTTGGAAGGAAGTTAGTAATGATGGTTACTATGGTAACCACATCTTTATCAATGCCCATCCGCATGAGATTTGCTTGCCCCCACCCCCAACTGTAACAAGGTCACAGAAAAAAGGCAAGCCTCTTGCCCACCCAGGGTTTAAATCTTCCTAGAAGGATATTGACCAAAGCTCCACAAAAGGGCCTGCTAAATGATGGTTGGGATGTCCTTAGAGGGAAGGTCTGCCCCCACCCAGTGGTGGAAACCCTTCTTCTGGACCCCCCTGTGTGCCCACTCCCTACCTCTCACTCTCCACTTTCAATGGCCTGTCTGGTGTTTTCAAGGCTGGTCACACCCTGCGGACCATGTTTGTGCTTTGTGAGAACAGACCCATGTCTGTGGCTTGGAGTTGCTGTTCAATTTGAAACAAAAAGACGCATTGCATGGAACTAAATTTTCTCTTTTTGTTCAGGCGCACAGAAAGATTCTTACCCCAGCAGGTGTGTGGGAACCTCCTTGTTGCTCTCTGTATCCAGGAAGGGGGCTTCTTTGTGCAAAGCTGACATCTCTCCCCCAGTCCCCAAAGTTTACTCTCCCTTCTCTCTCCTCCTTCTGATAGCCTGGAACTACTCAGAGAGTTCTTTGTTATCCATTCTGCCCAAAGGTCCTTGGAAGAATCAACTCTGTTCCATTACATCCTCAGCTGGTAGTCCAAATCCAAAGGGCTCCTAATGTGGAGTGGAGGCAAGAACCATGGTGGTAATGATGACTGACACATTTTGACACATTTTGTTTTCTTTTGAGTTTTTGCTCAAGAGAGGGTCTCAGCACATAGATTCAGCTAGCTAGTAACTCATTATGTAGCTCAGGTTTATATTGGCAAAGTTACTGGCCCTTCTCTTCAAGGGACCAACTCCTGATCCTCCTGCCTCAGCCTCTCAAGTGCTGCTGTGGGCCAGCGCCAGGCCTGCAGCACTGGTGCCCTTGAGGCTTGTGTGGGCCAGCGCCGTAAATTCATTGTTCCTCAGCTGCATCTTTCCAGCAGTCACGGCCGGAGGCCTATCATTATTCTCATTTTATAGCTGAAGAAACTGAGGTCCAGAGAGGTGATGCTAATAGTCTGGGTATCAGAGGAGGAGAAACCAGTGTTGATCCCTAGATGAGAAGGGCTATCTCCCTATGCAGCAAGTAGAGGGGCTGGAGCAGTGACCGAGCATCATAGGCTGTGTGAAACAGGGCCCAGATGAGGACTTTTGGTAAGGGGTGCTATGCAGAGCTGAGTGAGGGCTGTTTTTCTTCCTGCTGCTGCCTCTCGTTCCAATACCCTTTAGCCACCTTCTAATACTCCCAGAAGCATACACTCACCCACGTACCTGGCCTGGACTCCTGGCCCCATCCCCTGTGGCCTCTACATCATGAACCCCAATCCATGCTCATAGTACCAGCTCCAAGTCCCCCATTCCATCCACCCTAGCCTTGGGCTTCTGGAAGGTGCAGATGGTCTCACAGCTGAGCTCAGCATCCCACCATGCTGCCTAACCCTGTAAAGCCTCCCAAGAGAAGAAAGAGTGTAGAGACTAAGGCTTCATGCTCTTAGTCAAGCGGAAGCTGCACCTGAGCAGTGGGATAATGGTCAGGTCACAGCAGGAGAGAAAAGTCACTAGGTGCCAACTCAGTGGATCACCGCCAACACCTCTGCTTCTTTGCCTAGAAAGCTCCAGTCCACCCCACCTCACCCCAGCTGGTCAACAAGCCCCACCCTCTTGTGAATTTCCAACTTTCCCAAAGAACCCTGTAGAACATCCTAGAAGAAAAGACAACTGCCTCGTCCCAGAGGAACCCAGTAATCACCTTTTCTTTGCAGACAAAAATAAATGCATAATTCATCTCATGTAATTCTCTCTGCACAATATTTATTGAAGCATTTTCTCCAGGAAGCAAGGCCTCCAAGGTTATTTATTTGGGAATTAAGACCTCAGGGACACTAGGAAGAGAGGCCAGAAAGATCCTCCCACCCCCATGGTACCCACAGAGGCAAAGGCAAATGCTTCTGTGTTGTTCTTTGGTATGTCTGTAATTCCATATGCCCTTGAATAACATGACCACTTTCTTAAGGATTCAAGTTGGACCACCTCTAGGGGGAACCTTGCTCTCCTGCTGTCGATCAGATTTGGAACTTGACTTTAGTGATTGACTGACGTTGTTGTACAAGGGAAATCAGCGGGGAGCCTTAACAAGGAAGTCACAATCTTAGTTCATACTTAGTTCATAGTGGTATCAGAATGTCTAATGGTGAGAGCCAGACATCCATAGCTTTTTAATGATTCTCAAGAGATTCCAATGTGCAGTAAATCCTGAAACTGTTGCCTTATCCCTGTCTGAGTTCCCTTCCATAAGTGCTAGCACAGACCAGTGACCTTGGCCGTAGACTCGGCTCAGCACTGGTGTCCAGGTCACTCAGGCTCTGACTGTAAGAACTGGCCTGTCACTATTCATGTGATCTTGAGACGTCAGGCTTTGATGGCCAAGCTGGTTCTGATCACTGCACTCTTTTCTTAGGTCCTTTCCCATCTTGTACACAGATGCTGATAACTGGGCTCAAACAGTACTGACACTTGTGACACACTCATAACAGACTGTGTGATTTGCACACAAAACTCCCACATAGCAGCTGGGGAGATGGCTGCAGAAGCAGAGGACCTGAGTTTGATCCCCAGCATTCACAGCAAAGCCAGATGTGGTTATCCCTAAATACAGAACTTAGAGAGACAGGAAGATCTCTAAACCCACTGTCCAGCTGATCAAGCCAACATAATCAGATCCAGGTTCAGCAAGAGTCCTTGTCTCAAAAAAATAAGGTGTAACATGAGAGGAAGACATACAACATTGACCTTTTGTCTTCATATGTGCACACATGGGTGCACACAACCCACAATATATACTTATGTATATGTGTGCTCTCTCTCTCTTTCAAAAATTTTCATTCAAGCCACCTGGCTATAATCTTATCACTTGGGAGGCAGAAACATTAGATAGGCTGCATGATGAGACGTCGTATCAAACACCAAGGAGCAGAACTATTTAATTATAATAATCCAGTTTGCAGACAAAATGGGTTAAATCATTTTGTTCCATGACTTCTTTCTATATTTGTTTCTCAAGACTGTAGTAGCAAAGTACCACAGTTTGGGTAACCTAACACAACAGAAATGAAAGTCTTTCTAGTTCTTGAGGCTAGAAGTTTGAAATTGAGGTAGGTGTGTGTGTGTGTGTGTGTGTGTGTGTGTGTGTGTGTGTGTGTGTGTGTGTGTGTGTGGCTTTGGGAGAGAGACTCTGTTATATGGCCCAGCTTCTAGAGGCAGCAGCAAGTCTACAATAACTTTAGCTCAGAAATATCTCACTCTAATCTCTACCTCTGCCTTTCCTATGCCTTGACATCTGTCATAACAAGTGGCATCTATAAAAATTGTATCTCCAAATAAGGTCACATTCTAAGGTTCCAGGAGGATGCTGGAAGAACACTCCCCAATTCTATATACCTTCTCAACTCCAGAAATGTAACTTTTTCTCCAGCTCAAGGTCTGCCACCTGCTGGCAAATCCTGATGCAAATGACACTTACCAAGGGACCTCTAGCACTCAGTACTTGTGAACAGCAACTGCCTCTGCCAGGTGACCACATGTGTGTTCTTCCAATGTTCTGCAGCTACTGGCTGAATATTCCAAGGACACCTATTACTAATCTTGCACGTATACCTGCAGATCCCCTGAGGATAAGGACCCATGCTTAACATGACTGGCCAAGATACCTCTTCACAGACTAGCAGAGCAAAGTTTTCCCTGCATTGGTGTCTTCCTCCTTCCCTTAGTCTTACCATTCGGCTCTAAGATTAAGTCTCTTTTGTTTGTTTTCATCTTTCTTTACAGGAAATGGGTACATTGAAGGTAAAGAGCTGGAAAACTTCTTCCAAGAGCTGGAGAAGGCAAGGAAAGGCTCTGGCATGGTAAGGCTTCACTCCACCCTTGTGTTTGGGGTTTTCTGTGGTCTTGACCCAGCTAGGCTTGAGAATGGTCTGTTTCATGATGCATCCAGTCAGAAGACCTGGGGTCTCCCTGGTCTTGATATTTCCATCCGTTCATTTGTGAGGAAATAAGGAAAATCCAGGTTTCCCCCTAAGAGCATCTCATCTGAGTCTCCTTGGGCATCTTAAGAGATGACAATCATGAAAGTTGAGTTGATTAATCCCCCAGACTACACAGCTATGTGTTTATGCGTGCATGCGTACATATGTCTTTTCCTGGGGACAAAGCCGAGAGTCCTGGGGGTTTACAATTTTCCCAAAGAACTCCAGATGCCTGCAGTCAAATTAAAAATGCCTCATTCTTAACACTGTTAACATTGGAGGCTGGATAATTTTTGTTGCAAGAGGCATCTTAATATTGCAGTGTGCTTAGCCAAAGCCTTGCATCTAACCATGAGCTAGCCGAGTCATGGGAATAAACATGTCCTAAGTCAGATGTGATGGTGCAGACCTTTAATCCCAGCACTTGGGAGGCAGAGGCAGGGGGATCTCTGTGAGTCTGGGGTCTGCATTATGAATTCCAGGACAGTCAGGGCTATATAGTGAGACCCTGGCTTAAAAAATAAATTTGTCCTGGACATTGTCAAATGTACCCTGGTGGAGAATGGGGAGCAGAATCCACTATTTTAGACCAACAAAGGCCTGCTCCCCAGAAAAACCTAGAGGAAAGCTGATGGCTTCTCAGAAGCCTCCTCTGAGCCCTGACCATATCGTTCACCTTTGGTACAACAGAGTCCTGAACTCTGACCTGTACACAGTGATTCCAGATCATGTCCCACCAGTCCTTATTATAGGAATGTTATTTCCTCCAGTACCAATCTGGCCTGTTGAGTTTGTTAAAACCCCCTAGGAGAGCCATGTGAAATACTGAAAAGCTAAAGTAACGGGAGCTCGTGTGTGTGTGTGTGTGTGTGTGTGTGTGTGTGTGTGTGTATGTGTGTTGGAATATATAGAGCCCCTACAAGCCCCCTTGGCTCTTTTGAGGCTCTCTCTCCCGTCTCTTGCTTTCCACCTGCTGCCTCATTACTACTTACTAGTAAATCTGGGATCTTTTCTTAAGAGAAATTCACTCTGTATGAGCTCCAGGCTCAAAGCTCAGCCAAGTACCCCAGCGAAAAACATGTCAAAGCCATGGGTTTAAGAGAGCTGGAGGTGATGTATGGATGTATTTATCAACAGTTCCTTCATCAGCCCTTATTACTGGGATGATGTGAGCACAAGTTACAGGAACCACAGCTTCAAAACTGACTCTGTGATCAAAGACTATGCAGAAAAATGTGTTTAATGGAGAGTTTCAAATCTAACCATCCTTTTCTTAGTCATTCTCTTCCTCAGCTGGCATGAGGGTGACTGACTGACAAGTCTGTCCATAGCAATCCCAGCTGCTGTCATCTAGGACTGGTTCTAGGACAGAGCACCTGTCATGTGGTAGAAAAAACTCGGACTTTGAGAGCTGGAGCTAGACTTTCTAGTCCTGGTTATATTTACCTGGATGGTCTCGGGGGAAAATAACTGCATCTTGGATTCCATTTATGTGTGAGGTGCAGGGATGATTTGCCCACTGGGGACCATGGTAAACCTCTAATAGGTTGACCACAATTATGATAAGTACTTGGCATCAAACCTTGCATATTTGTAAATATAAATAAACATTGACTGACAAATATTAGTAAATTAATATCAGGTTCCAAAGCCAAAGGTGATACAGGACTCTAGGAAAGCTCTCAGAATTTTTAGAATTTCTCTTGAGCTAACTTCAAGAAGCATGAAAGCCCAGTGGAAGTCCCCAGATAATTGAAGTAAAAGATCAGATTGCATGGGGGGTGTGTGGCTGCAACATTGACTGAGGATAAGCAAGAGCTCCTTGGTGCAGATGACTTCTCAGCTGCACTTCAAACCAGCGAAAGGTTCCAATTGTCTGGAGGCCACTGTGTTTAAGTTGAGGGGTAATGGGCTAAAGGAACTCTTAATAAGGAATCTATTTTTCTATACTTAGGATAGTTGAGCGGGGATTTAAATTTTCCCTCAGCTGTGTGATGTCCTCACATTCCTCCTGGCAAGCAATCAGGAATACTGCAGAACTGTGAGCATATCTTTGAAGAGAAAAATGAGTGGTCTGTTTCAGATTGGTGGAGTGGTTGGAGCCTATTGTGGAATAATGGGTTGAGTTGGGTTATGCTAAGAGCTGTAACTCATATCTGAGTGGTGGGAATCAGTCCAAACCCGGTATGGAGCTGTGAAGCAACCCATCTCAAAGGTCAAAGGGTGCATCTAGTCATAGGGTACAGAACATGCCCTGTGTCCTTTCTCCCTTTGACAGTCATGTGACAGCTCTAAGGTAGAGCCTGACCCTGAGCTCTGGCACCTCTGGTTCCTGAGCCATATGTCCAGGACACGAAATGACTCCCAGCCCTGCTTCACTGAGAGGCTCACCTCTACATCATAGAAAGCAGCCTCCTTTCTCTGTCCACAGATGTCAAAGAGTGACAACTTTGGAGAGAAGATGAAGGAGTTCATGCAGAAGTATGACAAGAACTCAGATGGGAAAATTGAGATGGCAGAGGTGAGAGCCATGGAGCTGCCTGAGGGCTGCAGTCTCTGTGCCTACCCCATGCTTGAGCACAGCCTAAAACATCCCCAACTGAGCAGTGGGCCAACCAAACACAGCAAGTGGAGCGTTCTCTGTGTGCACCCAAGGAAAGAGGGGGCAACAAGCAATGCTCTAGGGTCTGCTCCCTAAATGCTCTGGATCCAACAGACATTGCAAATGTGGGATAAGCCAAGCTTAAGACAGTGGGAAGACTGGTTAGCGGGAGTATGCACACCCTACCTAATGGCATCCAAAAATCAAAGTGTGTATATATATATATGTGTATATGTATATGTGTATATATATAATAACATATATCCCATGTATATATACATGTATTATGTAGATAACATACATTCCATGTAATTTCTATGTGCTTACATGTGTACACATGCACATACATATATACTCAGACTTACATATAAATATGTACATCAACTATGATCATTGGCTTGTGACCTGTGGTCAAGGGATCTCTATTGATGGTGACAGCACATGAATTAGAGCCTAGCTCTTTGAAGATATATTGGTTCAAATGCTGCCATAGACCAGGTGACCTAGAAGAGATTCCAGAGTTGTGGCATGCTGCAGAGAACAGAAAATTAAGAGAGAATGACTGCAAAGGGCAGAGAGAGAGAGAGAGAGAGAGAGAGAGAGAGAGAGAGAGAGAGAGAGAGAGATAAGCTGGGAAACCACATCTGCCTTGGCCTATTTCAGATGGAACTCTCTAGATTGTGCCATAGATTGTGTTTCACCTGGAGGCCCACGTCAGTAAGTCACTGTTCTCAAGGAAGGAAATGAAATAGAGAAAAATGTGATTTTCACATCGCCTGTTGACTGACCATTTCCTATCCTTCCTGTGGGAAAGCCTGCTCTGTTCCCTGAGCTCCCCCACCCTGCCCCCACCCCAGTCATACTGATGTGGTTTTCTGTGTTTCCCAGCTGGCGCAGATCCTGCCGACTGAAGAGAATTTCCTTTTGTGCTTCAGGCAGCATGTGGGTTCCAGTGCTGAGTTCATGGAGGTGAGCCTTTTCTCTGCTCCACATGGAAACCCACCCTCCTCTTGTATTTAGAAGCCTGCCCTAACACCTGCAGAGAGTCCCTGGGAGGAGCTAACCCCACAGGGCTCTACTGGAGGTGTGGTCTGTGTCCTGGCAGGAGTGGCAGCCTTGTCACCTGGGTCCTTGTAGAAGACTGGCCACACTCATGCCTCAATAGGATGCCCAGGTTGGAAAGAACCAGTTCTTGGCCTGGAAGAGTCATTCTTTTCGGTGCAGTTTACCAAACATCAGATATGGGTTTAATTTTATGGTGCTTTAAAGGATTTCCTCCAGTTTTTCTGAGATGGCAAGATTCCATAAGCCAGTAATTGACTTTGGAATTTTGTCCCTGTTCTTTTGCCTGTGTTGAAGAAAAGTGATACATCCTTAGCCTGTGCCAGGAGGCAGTGTTTGCAAGGTCCCATTCTTTTTCCTGTCTATAGAAAATGGACATGGGGCTGAAGATGTAGCTCAGTGGTGGAGTGTCTGCCCAGCATGCGCAAGGCTCCAGGTTCCTTCCCCAACACAAAAGGAAAAGCAAGGACAGGCAGGAAGGGTGGGAAAGGGGGAAAAAATGAAGAAATGTAGAGATTGGTCTCTGTTCCATCTCTGGTCTGGGACTGGAGATGCAGGTAGCTTTCAAGAGTCAGAGATGTTTTTTGAAAAAGAAGCAGATACCCCCCCCTCTCTCTCCCCTCACTCTCTCACTCTCTCACTCGTGTGTGTGTGTGTGTGTGTGTGTGTGTGTGTGTGTGTGTAGCTTCTCTGCATGTGGGTGACATGATGCTGTACACTTCCATGCCTATACCCTACCCTTCTAAACCCATGAATATTTGTAGAGAGCCAGCACAGCCTCACTCACACACACACATACCTCCTGGGATTCCATCCCCTAAAATCACCTCTTTCTGGGGTTAGACGTTCTTTCCTCTCTTAGCATCTACAAACATAAAATGGTTCCTCAGAAGCCCTGAAAGGCTTGCGTTTCCCCCAGAGACTGAATCCTGCACAGTGCAATACTTAATATCTAATTTTAGGAATACCTCAGGACTTTTTTGAGATTCTACAAAGCCCAGGTCTCTTTAACGCCTTCCAAAGATAAGAATAAGGACACTTGGTGGACAGACACGCTATTGGGAAGGAAGTTGAGAGTGTAGCGCCCAGAGCTGGCATAGAGTAGAGGTGGGCTTGTGGGCGAGGATGGGAGTGCTCAGGCCTGCCACGGTTAGAATGGTATCCGGATGCTTTGTCCTGTGGAGAACTGGGTAGCAGCTACTCAGGCTGTCTAGAATGTGGGTTTGCTTGTGTTTCACAACTTGAAAAAAACCAAGACTGAATGTCCTAGTTTGCAGTGGAAAAAAAAAATCACACCTTTTTTCTGATATGAAAGAAAGACCCTAATTCAGTGGTTCTCAACTTTCTAATGCTTCAACCCTTTAATACAGTTCCTCATGTTGTGGTGACCCCCAAACATACAATTATTTCACTGCTACTTCATAACTGTAATTTTGTTATGATTATGAATCATAATGTATGTATGTGGCTTATGCAGGATATCTGACATGCGACCCCCCCCCAAAAGGGTCGAGACCCACAAATTGAGAACCACTGCCCTAAATTGTTCATAAGTTCTGACATTCTTGACAACATGAGACACACCTGTAGAGAGGTGACACATACTAGAGGGAGATTGAAGGAACACAGTTGACCTTTTTTCCCCTCCCAGGAAACCCATTGTGGCTGGTATTTGAGTGTGGTTGGAGCCAGGGATGATGGGCAGAAAAGTCAAAGGAACAAAATTTGAAAGAAACCTAAAAAAACATGAAACACAAAAAATAGACCAAAGACTTAGGGAAACAGAGTTCTGTGGATCTCCTTGCTGGGGCAGTCCCCTCCCTGCCCTCTCTCACCTGCTACTTGCTAGTTTCAGAGCACTTGCACAGGGGATCACGTGTTTTCAGGACTTGGTAAGTTACCTGTTGCTATGTAACAAATCTCCCCCTCCACATTTAACACCTTAAAGCAACAGAGACTTGCTATCTAACAGTGTCCGTGGTTAAGTCATCTTCCCCAGGTGGCTCTAGTATAGACTGTCTTGTGAACTCAGTCAGGGTGCCAGCTGGGCTGTAGTTCTTGAAGACTTGGCTGGAGCTGGAAAGTAGCCCATCTCCATGGTAGCCAGACTCTAATGTCACCCTGATGAAACTGTCTATAAAGGAGTTAAAGGACACAGTTGCTGTGGTCAGCAAGCTGGGCCCTGTTTTCACAGAGTTCCGATACCTTCACTAAATAAGAAACTCAGACCAGAGCGGGGAGTGGGACAGGCCCAGGGCACATGTTTATTCTGGAGAAGGGGGTCAATATTCCTTGCACTTTACCTATTGAGAGGAGAGGATAGGTGGTTTTCAGAGAGAGGGGAAGGGGGCCATGAGAAAGCTAAGGGTGCTTGGGGGACAGTCTAAAATAAACAGGTGCATTGCCAGGTCTGCTTTACCATTGAGTATGTCTACTGAAGACATCATGATGAAGGAATGGAGACGTAACAGTAACCAAGCCTGTTCCTGCTCCTTTTCCAGAGTTTTCCTCATACCTCTGCCTCATCAATAAAAGGAGACCTCAAAGTCAAAGCAAACTTAAGATCCATCAGACCCTTGCTACATCCCTGATCAAAGTTGCCTGCTTAGCACTTAGAATTTCAACCCTACTTTACAGCATGATTCAAAAGAGGACCCAGGGGACAGCAGAATGGCTCTATGGGGAAGGGTGATTGCTGAGTTCAAATGCCAGAACCCACATGTTGAAAGGAGAAGACATCTTCTACAAGTTGTCTCCTGGCTTCCACAGGCATACAATGATGTGCACACCATACTTCCCCCAACACACCAGACAAACAATAAATACAAAAGAGGACCTGAACCTGTAGCAGATTAAAGTAAGAGATCTTGTCCAGGCAGTTTCCCCCCTTTTCTGTGTAACCTTAACTGAGAGAATCTCCTTCATTTCCTTCTCTGTGACATCGAAGGGACTGGCTGTGTCATTTCCACGTCCCATGATAGAGTAAGGATTCTAATGTCTGTAAACATCAAGTCCTTACCTGTCTCATTACTGAGAATAGGGGAAGGTGTCAGGGTTTGATACATTTTTGTGAATGGGTTGACATTCCCATTGCAGGCTTGGCGGAAGTATGACACAGACAGAAGTGGCTACATCGAAGCCAATGAGCTCAAGGTATGATGGATGGGCCCTAGGGATGACATAGAGGAGGACGTGCAGAGTACAGAGTGAGGCTAGAGTTTTGGTGGAGCTCAACAACCAGGGAGAAAGGGGTGTTGGGTGAGGAACATGAATTTGTGGTCTCCTTAGATGGACTTGATCCTGGCACAGATGTTGGACTTTGGAGACGTCCCACACCAGCAATGGGAAGCTTCAGGACCAGGCATTCAACTAAACCACACTCCTCTGCATCCTAGGGTACAATATAGGTACCCTTGAGGAAATTACAGATGATTGGCCATCTAACTTAAACATCCACCTCAGTTTGTCCAGGAAATCAGTGATCCTTGGGCACAGCTGGGGCCTGTGTACTGGGTTCTGAGGAGGGAATCAAAGCCAGCCTCTACCACCTACTCTACAGGCAAGGTTAGATGTACCCAGGAGCGACTAAGAGGACTTTATGGTCATACCACAAATGATAAGGGGTTTGGGAAGTAAGAGAAGTATAAGCTATGTACTTGTAGAGCTCAAAGATCAACCTTGATTGTGAATTTGTAAGTGAATGGGTGAGGGCTGAGTGAGCAAGTCAGACTCTGAAGAGGCCTTTGGTGTTCCAGGGGTTCCTGTCTGACCTCCTGAAGAAGGCCAACCGGCCCTATGATGAACCTCAGCTCCAGGAGTACACCCAAACCATAGTAAGTGTTGGCATTGGCCCTTCTCCTGTGTGGGGCATGGACCCCCAGCCCCGAGGGTTCTTTGCTGATGTCTCAGGCCTATGTGCAGTGGCTCATGAAAGCAAGTGCAAGTTCATAGCTGCATACATCTTTGTCTGTCCTGAGTTGACTCCCAAACCACAGTGATATTGGGGTAGGGGGTTCTCTGTTTCCATGGGAACTGATAGAGCTCCAGGAGAAGATGAACCTCGAGAGGGTGGGCCTTCAGTGATGGCTGTTGTGTCTCTCCACCCCCAGAAGGGGAGGGATAGTTGATACTGAATTCTCACTGTGGCCCCCAGTGACTGACTTAGGCCTTGATGATCCCCAGCTTCAAGTTACCCCAATGGAAAAGACAGTAGTGAGGAGATCAAACACATAACCCAGCCACCTTTTTCTGTTCCCAACAGCTGCGGATGTTTGACTTGAATGGAGATGGAAAACTGGGCCTCTCAGAGATGTCCAGGTAAGTTCTTTTCCCACCCTGGTGTCACTTTAAACAGGCCTGTTCTGCTGTCTCTATCTGAGCCCAAAACAAAACCATCTAGAACTGGAAATCTTGATACCACACTTGGTCCATTTCTGTTATTTATTAATTTTAAAAATCCCAACTGACTCCTGATTATAAAGTGTTCAGTGATTGTTGCCATGGCTACAGATGCTGCCTCTCTACCCTGCACCCAATCTGAGTGGCTGCCTATAGCATACCCTTTAATCTCTACTTTAATGTTGTCTTCCAGACTCTTGCCAGTGCAAGAAAACTTCCTGCTGAAATTTCAGGTACGAATGTCTCTTTGCTTTCTTTTGTCTCCCTCCATTCCTCTCATCCCTCTGAACTTCAGCCTTCTGGCCTCCTTTTCTCCAACACACACACACGCACACACACGCATGAGCACACCCACGCACACACACACACAAAGGGGGGGAAGAAGGAGGGAGGGGGGAGAGAGAGTCATGCAGACTTTTATGATTTGAATTCTTTGGTATTTCCAGGGTATGAAGCTGACCTCAGAGGAGTTCAATGCCATCTTCACTTTCTATGACAAGGTGAGAGGGAATAGTAAGGGTTGGAAAAGCGGAAGCGCTATCACCTGTGGTGGTAATGTCGAGAACTGTTTGGTCTGTAGGAAGAGACCAGATTTCCAGAGGGGTTCCCTGGACCTGTAGGTTCTTTTTCAGTTACGTGGGAAGACAAATGGTATTGATTCCTGACCTACAGGAGCCCATGGCTTTGATCTCTGACAAACATAATAGGAAAGAGGTTTAGGGGGTTTGTTTGTGCTTTTTTTTTTTTCAGTTAAAGGAAGAGGGTTGTGCTGGGAGTTCAGGGTGTGGTCGTGGTATAGCAGGAGAGCCAGTTTTTGTCTGGTTGCTTTGTTTTTCGTCTTTTTTTTCAGTTTTCACACAGGGTCTTGCTATGTAGGCTGACATGCCTTCAAATTCTTCACCCTCCTGTCACAGCCTGTCCCATTGAGTGTTGGGATGACAGGTTTGAGGTGTTTGTGCCACCATACATGGCTCAGCCAGTTATTTTCTGGGACTTGGGGGTGAGAGTCATCTCCTAGTCCCAACCCAATCTTAGTTGTCCTGAGCTTGTGGCCCTGGTAGTCTCCTTTACAACGAGAGGGTTGGAGGTTGACTCAACAGCTAATTCAGTTAACTTTAAGCTTCTGGGTACTCACAATAAAAATAAATACTACCAGAAAAGGAGACCAAAGTTAGCATTGAATGATTGACTGGTTATTGACAGAAAGTACATTATTCTGTCCTTATATGATCTGAACACTTCCCTTTGCACAAAGAAATGGGAAGATTAGACACTCCCTACACGCACGCACACACACACACACACACACACTCGCACGCACGCAAAGCTTTTGTAATTAAGTGGGGGGAAAGAGCTGTGGTCAGGGTGACTGGGGGCTGGAGTTCAGAGCTCTGCATTGACAACTCTCTGCTGCCCCCCTCAGGATGGAAGCGGCTACATCGATGAGAACGAGCTGGATGCTCTCCTGAAGGATCTGTATGAAAAGAACAAGAAGGTGAGGAAATGAGCCCAGGGTGGCTGGGTTCCCATGGCTGGGAGAGGCTGAGAATGGATTCTCTCGTCTCTGATCTGTGGCAATAAGTCAGTGACAATGTGTGGGCTGAGCTGTCTTTTCAGGTTGATTGATTTAAAATATACATAACAAAGTTCATCATGTTAAAGACTATTGGATAGATCTAATACATCCATCATGCCGTGTAAGCAGCATCATGCCCGTAACTCTCATCCTGTAAAGCTGAAACCCCACACCCATAGCAACCCGTTCTCCCATCTCTCACAGTACTGCAGTCTGCATCTGTAGATTTCACTGATGAGGGTACCAAAAAAGAAGGGGAACTATATGATCCCTTTGTGTTTCATTTCACTCAGCATGCTGAACTCAAGGCTCACCCATGTTGTAGCACTTCAGAATTCTCCTCCGTTTTGAGCTGAGTGATAATTGACTTCCATGTGTAAACCATCTTGTCTACCCATTTGCCACCTGTGCCCACATGTTCCTTCCGTGTGTTGGCTGTTGTGGGTGATGATGCTGTGAGGCAGTGGCAATGTGGATATTGCCCATCCTGTAGAAGTGCCAGCCACATGGCCATCATGAAGGACTTTTAACACAAAGGGAGATTTTGGAGGGCAGAAGCCATCAGGGGTGAGGACTGTTTCAAACTCATTAACTGCAGAACCTGGGGCTGGGGAAGAGGCTGGAAGGAAATCGCTGAAGAGTTTCTCTCAAAATAAAGGCCAAGAAAACCAGCAGTTTTGTGCCTGACACTGCCTCTTGGGAATGAATCTTCCAGAACCCTCCCTGGTCTCATCTCTGAACCCTGGATGGGAGGGATCCAGTAGAATGGCAGCCAGAAGGCAGGAGCCTTTGCTGCTGTCTTCTGTCACCTCCTAGAAAATGGCTTTCACATAGAAAATGACTACTGCTTTCTTTAATTAGATGGCAAACATTCTGTAACTTCCAGAGCTGTCCAACTGCCTCGGCTGCCAAATAAGAGCTAAATTTAATGCTCAGTTTCAGAAAAAAAAAATATATCACTGCAGCCTCTGGGTCCATTTGTCTCTCTTTGCAAGTGTTTTTCTGGCTTCACCTTGAGTATCAGCCTTCATTGATTTCATCCTACATTTACATTTTAATGTAGGTGATAAGGATTCGGATGGTGCCTGGGAAGAAGAAAGCCTTCGCCAGAGCCAGTATTAGAACTCAGTAACCCTTTCTCCTGACACTGTATCCCAACTGAAAATCATTTATGTAACCATACAGGTCAGCCTCAGATGTGCAGACAGAAGCAAAGAGCCAGTTGCTAGGATTGGGAAGCAACCCCTAAGGTTGGAGAATAGGTATTAATAAGGCTGTTTATGTGGGAGCCTACTGTGTGTGCCAGGCTCCGGACTTGGCACCTGGGCATTAAGAGAATGAATCAGCAAAGAACAAAAGCTGCATGGCTAAGTTCTCACACCTGAGCTGGGATGGGAAAAGGCCATTTTTGGTGAGATCACGTAGCAGATGCAGCCTCATTTTAATGGTGCCTGCATGGGCTGCGATAAGGTTTCTAAGCAGATTAGCCCTGGAGGCTCAGGAAGGGACAGGCCGGAGGGATGAAACTTCAATAGTTAGCAACATTCCTAAGGCTATTGGTAGTACCCTAAGGCCTTTCCCAAGATTTGAGCAGAACCCTAAGATATAAAAATTAGGCTCTCTCCCTGCCATATTCCCCCCTGGGAAAAAAAAATGTCAACTTTGGGGTTGCTATAATTCCCCCAAAAGGGTCCCTTCCTTGATTCCTAATTGAGACACATACCCCTCCTCACTGTGTACATGACCTTTTTGGGAATTTCATAACTTTAGGGAAGATATTCCTCAATCCAGAGATGCTTTCAAAATGCCTTTGGGTGGAGCCAGTGGCATAAAACTAGGAATCACTGATTTGAGAGGTTGTCTCCGACCTATGTAAGAAAAACACCGACAGTTGAGCCCCATAAAAGAGGGTCAGGACAGGGAGGCCAGGCAAGTAGATGGAGTTTGAGGCTCCCGGGGCTGAAGATATTTTTTGATGAGGTGATCCAACCTTTTAGTAAGTGGTTTAGCCTTTATCCTTCTGTTTTCTTGTCAGCAGAGTTGAGATAAGGAACCATCAATCTGAAAGGGGGAGTATGTTTTTTTAAGGTATCTGCCAATGTTTACCACAAAAAAAAAATTGGTGGTACAGAACTTATCTAGCATTAGAAAAGCCCTGGCTTTGAACCCCAACAATGTAAAATAGTAATAACACTTAAGAGGAGGAGGAGAGCGGAGGAAAAGAGGAAAGAGAGTAAGAGCAGAAGAGGAGAAGAAAGAAGAAAAGAAAAAGATAGCCACTTCCTATTGTTATGGTGACCTTGCTGGAGACCCACTGGCCATTTGTATCCTAGGCAATTATTATAAGCTAAGGACTATCAGGTGTTGGTCCTGTTTACTTTGGGCCTCCAGCATATATCTATGGACCACGGGCTTGTGTTTATGGACTCTCCACCTCAGTGGTCCCTAATGACCACAGGAAGCCAGTGAACAAGAGAGCTGGTGAGCTTTGTTGCTAGAGGAGACAGAAGATAAAGAAGCCCTCCTTGTTTAAAATAGAGGCTGCTTAGGGACATATGATCCAAAAGACCTGGAGGCAGACCAGGGGACTTTCCTGACCCCATCTCCATGGCCTGCAGAGACCCATGTTTGCCCTGAGTAAATGGAATTCTAAGGAGATGGAAGGTAGATTTGACTTTCACAGAGACCTTAACTATCTCTTAACCACTCAGCACAAGTGCTAAGTGTATTCATTCCCCCAGCTGGCCATCACCATGCCTCCTCGAGGCAAGGATTGTTGGTGTTCCCATTTTACAACTAAGGCTGCTGAGTCCCGGAAAGGTAGACTGTTTTGTCCAAGCAACGTAGCCAGTAAGTGAAAGAGAGAGGGTTTTAATCCAGGTGGGCCTGACTGCAAAGGCCAGGCTTTTTGTCTCTCTAAGTTCACTCAGTGTGTCTGTGGATGTATGAGTGGCAGAGGCAGGGGCAGGGGACTCCTTTGTACGAGGCCACACACTTAGTCTGCCCTCATCTTTCTCCCTCCTAGGAGATGAACATCCAACAGCTTACCACCTACAGGAAGAGTGTCATGTCCTTGGCCGAGGCAGGGAAGCTCTACAGAAAGGACCTGGAGATTGTGCTCTGCAGTGAGCCCCCCATGTAAAGGGGTGAAGGGACAGGGGCTGCTTCTGCACCTCCTCTCAACCCTGCCTCCACCATCCTGTCTCTCTGTCACTCCTTCCCAGACCTAGAGAACAAGACCTTCCCTCCCCACCCCTGCAACCTGCACACACCAGCCTGTGGGGCCGGAAAGAAGAGTTGGAGACTGGGTAGCTGCTAGCGTTCCTCCAAGCTGCACCAGCCCAGCCCTGGCCACATGGACAGTTGTGCTTGCATTGGGCCACCAGCCACGTGGGTGGTGGGTGAGGACGCTGGTGGAGCTCCCCCAGTCTCTTCGCTGTGATGCATGAGCTCCTTCGCTGTGTGAGTTAGGCTTCTGAGTCCAACAGAGTGGACTCTTTCCTCCTGCTGCCCCGTGCCCTTTGCCCCAGGCCACCCTCAACCCCGAGTCTCCAGGTTCTGCCCACCAGCTTGCTAATGATGTAGCTGTCTTCTCAGAGTTCCTGTGGTGGACAGTGTTCTTGTGTTCTTGACTTGTGTGTTCCTTTCATCTTTGGGTTTCCTGTCTTCTTGTTTACCAAAGAAGAGTGTACAGAGAATAAAGTGGGAATGTTCTGTCGTGGACACTCACCCCCTTCTTGTCATGGGCAGCATTTCTCTGGAACAAAGGGTCATAGGGATGGAGAGGGCACTGAAGCTACCTGACTGGGGATTAGAATCCCCCCAAGACTCAGCTGGGGGGGGCGGTGGCACATGCTAGGAGGATTGGGAGCTCAAAGACATTCTTGGATACATAGCTTGCTCACCTTGCCAAGGACCACCTGCCCAGGGGTGACACTGCCTATTATGGTCTGGGCCTTTCCGCGACAATCATTAGCCAAGGAAATACTATAGGATTGCCCATAAGCCAATCTGATGGAGGCAAATCCTCAGCTGAAAGTCTCGCCAGGTTTGTGTCAAGCTGACAAACACTAGCCAGCACATTTGTCATGGTTTGCTTGTCCCTACTCCAAGCAGAGCCATTGTTCCATGTTTGTTATGTTTCTGTATCCCAGATTATGTTGCAGGAGAAGTTTCTAGTTCACTGAAGGCTTGCTTGACTCCAGGTAATTATGCTGAATGGGTCACTTGGGTATCCTCTTAGCCCTTTAAGAGAGATGCTATGATTCTAATCTGGTCAGGGTAACTGAAGGTGAGTACTGAGACTTGAGCTTTCCATCCCATGGCCAGTTGGGAAGAGAGCCAGGATATGACTTTAACAACCTGGATCCACATTCTAAACCACTGCTTCCTTTTGTAATAGAGATACCCATGGTATGTGGCAAAGCTTTTACTTTTCTTCTCAAAGTGGCCATTGCCCAGCAACTTCTGATCAGAAGTACCTGGCTGTAAGGTCAGCTTGGCCTTTGGGTCCACAGAGCTATCTGAGATCCTAGCATAGAAAGAGAACTCCTTTCCCAAAGGCCATTGTTGTCTAACAGATTCATTTTAATAGTACTGCTTTATTGAAACCCAGCAATTCTATGAGACAGATACTATACAGGTGAACAAATTAAGGCTCAAAGACACTGAGTAGCTTGTCCAGGGTGTTATAGCTCATAAATGATAGTTAGAACTCACACTTGGCTGGCCACCTGTGGAAATGTCCTTCTGGTTAACATCCAGGAGCCCATCTGGAGCAATAGACAAAGATTCTAGGCACACGAATCGGATGTAACACTCATTTCTTTCTCAGCCATGCCCATCTCTAAAAGAACCCAACCCTGTTCACAGAGCAGATGGTCCTGACTTCTGCCCTCCCCCACACCTGACTGGGCGTATGTGCACATGTGATCCCTGCTTGGCCTTTAAGAGACTGGGGAATTAGAGGTTGAGACTCAAGTTGCCAGGCAGGAGGTGCCATCCTGAAGTGAGTAGATGGATGATGGCTTTGGGTCTGGAGGTGGTGCTATGGTTCGTGTTTGAGTGCTGGGAAGAGCAGAAACTCGAATAAGAGGACAGTTAGCTAATAGTGAAAAAAAATACACAGAGGGAAAACCAAAGGCCAAAGAAGGACGAAAGGGAAGAAAATTGAAGGAAGAAAGGAGACAGAAGGTGGAATAAAAAAGTGGAGGGAGGGAAGGAAAGAGGGAGAGAGGAAGGGAGGGAAGAAACAGAAAACACGGCATAAGGCAAGCCACTGGACAGCATCTTGGATCCTCTGACTTTCGGCTATGTCTCCATGGATGAGGAATAATCGTCCACACTCTGTGACCTAGAGTACTCATTGCAGATGCCATAGCTTGGGATCTGTGGGGTGTAGAACTGGGCCCTGTCTACTTGTCTGTGGCATGCGTTCTCCTGTCAGAGGGAAGAGTTGTGCTCTCCTGACAATGTCTCTTTCTAAAATGAACTCTGTTAGTTAACCCTGAAGTGTCTGTTCATCAGGATAAAATAAGGACGAGTAATCCTGCAGGTGCCCAGTGCCACCTGTAGGGGGCTTCAGTCTCTTCTGTGTTAAGGAGACCACATCAAATCAGCTGGGGCTGGGGTGGCATTTGATTCATTTGGACCATTTCTCTCCCATTGTGCTGCCTGTCCAAGATGCTTTGGGAATGGGTGGCCAGGGTTACCCTCCTTTAAACTCCATAAGAAGCCAGGTGGTGGTGAACACGCCTTAAATTCCAGCACTCGGGAGACAGAGGCAGACTGATCTCTGTGAGTTCGAGGCCAGCCTGGACTACAGAGCTAGTTCCAGGACAGGCTCCAAAATGATACAGAGAAACCCTATCTCAAAAAAACCAATAAACAAACAAACAAACTCCATAAGGACCCTGGAGAGGCAGTCTTAGCTAAGCTCCCTGGCCTGTAAAGGCAAGAATGTCACACCTCTCTTCTAGGAGAGAAGCTTCAAAGCCCATGTAAAATATCAGCAGTAAAGCAGCCATGTTCAGACCCAACCTTAAAGACATATCTCTTCGACATGTTTCCCTTTTTAAAGGGCACTGTTCCATATGACTCCTGGGAACAGGGCTCACCCTGGGAATCTCCCAGCCCCTAGGGCACTAAAGTTCTCTGAAACTGAGGGTATAGCTCAGTAGTAGAACAGTTGCTACAGCAACACTAAAGGGAGAGATGGAGGAGAGACAGAGAGAGAGAAAGGGACAGAGAGACACACACACACAGAGATAGAGAGGGAGAGAGAGAGAGAGAGAGAACGAGCACCTTTTCTTTTGGGGTGTGTCCCTGGAACAGATAATGTATTCACCTGTTAATGGCATTTTGAGGGAGGGTATGAGAGGTAATTAGGATCAGATAAAGCCATGAAGAAGGAGCTCTGTGATCCAAGAAGAGGACAAGAGTGAGCCGGTAGGGAGATGGCTTAGCTGGTGAAATGTGTGTCTACAAGCATGAGAGCCTAAGGTTGGATGCCCAGCACCCACATCAAAAGCCAAGCACAAGTCAGTAATTCCAGAGCTGGGGAGGCAGACAGGCAGCCCCTGGAAGGTTGCTGGCCAGCCAGTCTAACTGAGTCAGAAAATGCTGGATTAATTGACAGATGCTGTCTCAAAATAATAAATAATAGTAGTAATAATAATAATCTGGAGAACAATCAAGCAAAATAATGTTAACCTCTGGCCTCCATGTGCACATGTATATACATGTACACACACATGAACACATATACAACATACATTCAAAACAAAAACAAGAGAGGCCTAAGAGGCCTTCCTGTTGTGCCTTGCCATTTGGAGGCCTCCACTGTGTTATGCCTTAAGAAAGTCCTTACCAGATGCCTCAAGATAATTCATTAACAGTGAGTTAAATAGATCTTTTCTCTTTACAAATTACTTAGTCTATGGCATTGAGTTATAGCAACAGAAAATGGACTAAAATGGTTTCTAACACTTAATTTCCTCCAGATAACTAACTCCCAACTTCCCTAGCTTCTAACACAGAGATCAACAGAAACCCCCTCCTAGGGGAAAGCAAAGGACCCAGAGGCTTCAACTCTATTTAGGAAGTGGGGGGAGGACAATGGTACTCAGAACACCCCACAGTAAGCTGCAGTTAGTTGCATCCTATGGCACTCAAGGCCAAGATGGGGATGTTTCTAGAGGAAGCCACATCACCAAGAGTAACTCTGTAATGTGAAGACCCACTATGGTTCTTTGAAGAAAATACTAATAATCTATTCTCCTGACAAGTTCTTTCAACCGGGGAGAGGTGGTGAGAAGACAAAGATGCGGGGAACAGTGGGAATTCCTTTGGGATGCTCCAGTGCCCTGGTATGTGTGACCCATTGGCATTGGCACCACCGCTTCCCCTGGAAACCCCTGGCTGGCATCCCAGTGTCTGGGTTGGAACAGACATCGTATATTTGTTCCATTGTCTTAATTCAACACACATTCATTGAGTTTCATTGAGTCTCTTTATGGTGTCTATAGTCAAAGATAGAATAGATGGGAATAATATAATAAGGAATTATAGGAACCTTACGGGTTTTAAAGAAAAGGTAAGCACGGGAATGGAGGGGTGCTATCTGAGATTCCCGATAAAGGGGACTATTAAAGCAGATTCCTAAACAACACGAGAGTGAACCTCATGCTAGGAGAGGAGTTGAACTGTGCCTAGGAAGAAGCAAGTGCAAAGGCACTGAGGGCCAGGAGTCTTTGACATGTGCAGAAAGGTTGCTATGTTGGTGAGAGGAAAGAGGGGACCTAGAGAAAGAAAACATATGGATAGTAGGCCATATCGTGGAAAACAGGTGAAGCCAAGTCATGGGGTATCTTGGAAGCCATGATAAAAGAGGCTTTGAATTTCATTGCAAATGTCCAGGGAAGACGACAAATAGGTACAGCAGAGAGGTGGCAATTTATTTGAAGGATACTCTGGTAACCAGTGTGGATGGTAGCAATAGGAGGCCATAGGGAAAACAGAGATTAGGTAGAAAGATGAGGCTCTGGGATAGTTGGGAAAAGCTGGAAGAAGTTGTATTAAATATCAGCCTCCTGGGACCAGAAGGATGACTGGGGGGTTAAGAGTATGTACTGCTCTTGCTGGAGACCCAAGTTCAGCCCCAGTGCTCACATCTGGTGGCTCACAACCTCTTGCAACTCTG